GTGTAACCAATGAGTGTGAATCTAGTATTTATGTTTATAAAGAAAACAACAACAAAATGTACTATTTTCAACGTGTGATGTGGTATAACAATAAGCAAATCGAATAACCACATTTACTTAAAAAGTTGGTAACGAAAAATCAAGAATCATTTATTTCAAACTTTTCAGCTTAAGGCTGATGTACTAAAAGGGTTTTCAAATTATGTGTACCTAAGAGGAGCAGTCGATTCCATCAAGATTTCCCTTAAAAGTTAAATGAAGAAAGTTTGCATCCTTCTAGGAACACCTGAATGTACGTTGGGTATCTGCAGACAATGGTATCATGTGATTAAACTAAGTACATTAATCGCCAGTTCGAAAGTCTTTCCACACTTGGACATAAATACATATTTAATACACTGGGGCTATGTTAAAAACTAAAACGTGAAATTGGGATATTTTTGTTTAAATTTTACAGATTTTATCCATACAAATTTTAGTGTCCTCCAGATGGTTACTTAAACAATTTTTTTAGTGGGGGTTGTTTAGTATTATCTTATTTGTTTATGCTTCCTTAAATAACACATGTTTATATTCAATTTATTTTCATTTATAAAAACCAAACCAACTACGCTATAAGGCTTAGGAATATGGTCGTCAGCATACCTTACTTGCATACATAACCTCATTATGTAAACACATTGATGCCATATTCAAATGTCGATTAACTTTCTTAACCTTACTAAGATGTTTAATCAAATAAGTCACTTTCAAAATAAACGTTCAACAACTCCACCTTACGTAGAGATTACTTTGTCACTTTTCGAAGTTATTTACATCACAATCCTTACGACGTCTTACAAAAGTTCCCTTGATATATTAATATCGTTTGTAAACAAGTAATACTGTTTTAATAATGATTAAAACGTTTTGGTCATAAAAACACAATTAAAGCATAATCTTTTGAAAATCTTCTGAAATCTATTCAATGCTACAGGGTATATCCTTGATTACGGCCAATTATTTTGTTCTATCAGGTTGAGAAGGGGCGCACATGAAAAGAGCCTAAAACTCAGGCAGACGCTTGAAAAGCGCCCGGACCTCCAAGGTCCTCCCCAAGACGGTGCGAAAAGAGCCCGGGCTCTTCCTAAACTTTCACGAGTCTTCAAAGGAGAAAGAACCAATAACACAGTTGAAAAACATGTATTTGTTTACAATATTAAAAGTAATGGTACCACTTACCATCTTTTGTATATTTACCGTCTTGTGAGTAACAGTATAAGCGTAAATATATGTTTTAAGTGTTATAAGACGTATCTTTATTTACTTTCCGTAATGTTAAAAGATACACTGTTAAAAGATACATTATTAAAATCTATATATTATTAAAAGATATTTACATTACTAAAAGATATAGTCTGTTTACCTACCCTAACCTAACCCAACCCAACCAAACACAACACTATTTCAGAACAAGAGTCAGCGTCCTCCTCCTCAGGTACCTGTGGAGACCCGGGCTCTTTCCATGCTTAAGATTAGTGAACCTTTTTGAGGTTTAAGATTTCGGGCTCTTTTCATGTGCCCCGGTTGAGAATTACTTGAGTCCTTCTACGTATGTGATTGAAAACATACGTATACCTGTAGGCTTAACCCTTTCCTATTAGATCTCATCAGTGATTTGATTTCATTATTAAATGAGTTATATTTAAATTATTTTTCATTAAATTTGAATTATTTTGACCCTCTTGAGCTATACTAACGTTTCAAAATACATTTTTAAGCAGGTAAATACATTGGCTTTATCATTATCAGCAGTGTAGTTTTGGAAACATATATACGGGTGTATATAGGTTATCGTAGGATATTACAGGTTCAATTTTACCATGTAATATCCGGCATTGAAGGCTGCTGCAAAGTCGTAATAAATACATAAACCTTCACCTTACCACCTCGTCGATACACGAGACGTATTAGAAGATTTACAGGGAACAAATTAGAATACTAGGGAAGATTAACATTTTATTACTCATCAAAAAGCGTAGGTTAATAAAATATATATATTTAAAAACGTTATATATAATCTGTTATTAAAATATATTTATTATAAAATACATGTATTGGACTTAACTTTCATCGAGTAAATATTATTTATAAATTTACGTTGTTACATGTTTTGAGTATTTTGTTTATATGAAATAAGTTTATATTGTATTATGCATCCTTTATAGAGATCAAACTTGTAGAAGAAAACAGCGAGCAGGGAATATCAAATATGCCTTCCTCCTATATAGCAAGGAATTGTATTCCTTACTCGCTGAAAAAAAAACGTTTTCAGTTTCTGGTGGAATAGTACTAGGTGATTATGTTTATCTAACTCCCCCAAAACCAGTTGCAATTTTATTTTACTTGTAAACAACTAGAAATTTAAGTTTATAGTTTGCAAGATAACTCATAACCAAAACCAAGATTACAGAAGGAACCATTTATATAGGGCTCTTATACACTTTTAAAAATTAAATTCTCTTAAAGAAACCTCACAGTTCTTTAGTATAAAATAAATAAACCTTCAAAAACAGTTGGAGGAATAGTTCTACGGAGACGATGTAAAAAATTAATTTTCAATTTAACAATTACCGTTGAAGAAAAAAAAATTGAAACTTCTAATACGTGGTAAATACGTCTGATGGAAATAGCTTTGTCCCTTGTATATTGGCTAATGCCTTCTAAGGAAGACTCGGTTTTGACATACAGTATAACATTCTTTATTATACTGTATATATTTTCTTAAGATGCATTATTTTCGTGCTATCAGGTCAAAGTCAAATGTAATAAAAGTTTCACAAAAAAATTAAATACTAAAACCACAAGAAGAAATGGGCAATACTTGGCTCAGATACTTAATTTTAGGCCTACAGTTATATAAACATTCCTTAACAGTTTGAAAAAATGTCTTTCATAGAAGGTGATGTTAATTACTCTGGAAATCCTTCAAACTACCCTCTCTTCGAACACAGAAGATAAGGAATCACTATTAGTTATCAAGTTGACTAATAAACAACAGAACTTTTCTCATTTAGTCCAGTTTACCGCAGTCTCTGGAGCATCGACTAATTCATTTATTGCCAGTCCACAGTATAGAACGGATTAACTTTCCGAATCCAATTAGAAGCATTTTGGCACTTTACGATTATTCCGACGAAGCAAAATCAGTGGAATAATGGTATACTTTACCAAGAAGAAAAATGGTAAAAAACACTCGCCAAAATTGGGAAATAAAAACTCTATAAAGTGAAATTTGGTCTTAAAATCAGAAATTTCTTCAATACCAAGTACTGCTTCCCCAGTAAATCTTGATTATAGACTAACATTACAATGTTTGGTTATTAGATAGTGGTTAACCTCTTGGGGTATTTATTATCATTTGCACATTGCCTTGGACAATAATAATATTTATCATGAATAATATTTAATGATAAGTGTTTTAAAAACTTCCTTTTACCAATTTCAATTGCAATAAGAACCTATGCGAGTTTGAAATATAATATGGAGCAGTGTTCGGTAAGCAGTAATGTTAATTTGTAATACTTTAAACTGTATTATGTAGTTTTCATTGTGGGGATTTTTAAATACCGCTTTCATAGTGGAAAAATTACTCCAATAAAATAAAGTAAAAAAACAAAACCTTTATTAATAAACAATAGGACCTTGATATGTATATTTGTATACCATTTAATTTCGATAGATGCATTCATAATCATCGTACTTAGAAGAAAGAAACAACTAGTTAAACCCCAATTTTTCGAAATCAATATTAGCTTAAAATTTTGGAGAACGATGAAGTTCATAGCCAACTACTTAACAAGGATCAAAAATAAATTAACAAAAATATATTTAAGACGTTTTAAAAATATTTTCATTACACTTTATGTCCATGTTCTCCTCTCTGTTATTACAGTTGTTCTTAATATTTATTTATATTAACTGTGTTTATGACATTTTACTAGTTACAGTTCAACCTTTTATAAGAGCTACTTCGTTCTAAAAGATATTTTGTTGGGTAGGAATAGATTTCATGAATGTATTAGTTAAATGATGAAATTAATACAAACTGTCAAGAAGGATTTTCCATTGTATCGTTCTGTCCTATAATATGATTTGCTTTATCTTAAAAACTAATTGACAGCTGCAAGAGACATCTGCTTCATTTGTCTCTGCTTCTTTATTTTGCACTATATTGTTTTCCTACCTCTTAATTACTTAGCTATTTAATTGTACCTTTCGCTGTTTTTCGTGACAATTATTTTTACATTTAGTTTTAAATATAGTTTGAATTTGTATATTGCTAAGTTATAATAAACGTAATGTAGAGAGTAAAACAATCAGGGGGAAGTAAAAGCAATCAAATTTTGTTAACGAATCCAATAATTCCTGGACGATTTACCCTTTAATTTACAACGTTAATGTAATTCAATGTAGGAAAATATCAGCAATTGTATGTTCAATTGTAGGCTAAAATAACTACACTGAGATATAAATTCGATTAGTTATTTCAATCCAAGTAAGTTTTTGTCACAAAAGTCAACACATTCAAGTAGAGCAGTATAGAGCTTGACAGAAGGCAATAACAGTTCTTCTTCACAATTCTCACATTTAGCCTTGGTAAATTACCTCTAACGTTTGCATAGATGAGAGGTTTTACTTAGTTTTACTAGTTGAAATATCGTACGCTTGTGTTCAATGTAAAATGTGGTCAATTAATAATAGTTATACAGTGAGTTATGTTTTTTTAATATCTTAAAAACTATATGACATTATAGAGTTACATGTGCTTTGGTAATTAGGTTTTGTCTCACTTCATTAAACTATTTAATACTTTTGCAACAATTTTTTTGAAATTTTTATTGATTTTTTTCTTAACTGCAAAGGGCTAAAAATGGCAAAAGGCAAAGGGCCTAAAAGGGCAAAGGGCCAAGAGGGCCAAGTTAAAAAAATGGCAAAGAGACAAGGGCTAAAAAGACCCAATGGCCAAAAAGGGCCAAGGGCAAAAAAGGACGAAGGGCCAAAAAGAGCAAAGGGCCAAAAAGGGCCAAGGGTAAAAAATGTCAAAGGACCAAGGGATTAAATGACCCAAGGGCAAAAAAGAAAAAAGGGCCAAAAAAGGGTAAATTTAAAAAAAGGGCAAAGGGTCAAAAAGAGCAAAGGGCCAAAAAGGGCCAAGGGCAAAAAAGGCAAAGGGCCAAAAAGGGCCAAGGACAAAAAAGGCAAAGGGCCAAAAAGAACAAAGAGCTAAAAATGGCAAAGGACAAAGGGCCTAAAAGGGCAAAAAGGGCAAAGGGCCAAAAAGGACAAAGGACCAAAAAGAGCAAAGGGCAAAAAAGGGCCGAGGACAAAAAAGGGCCGAGGGCAAAAAATGTCATAGGGCCAAAAAAGGGCCAATTTGAAAAAAGGCAAATGGCCTAAAAGAGTAAAGGGCAAAAAAAGGCAAAGGGCCAAAAAGGGCCAAGGGCAAAAAAGGCAAAGGGCCAAAAAGGGCCAAGGACAAAAAAGGCAAAGGGCCAAAAAGAGCAAAGGGCAAAAGGGCAAAGGGCCAAAAAGGGCTAAGTTAAAAAAGGGCAAAGGACCAAAAAGGGCCAGGCAAAAAAAGGGCAAAGGGTCATTAAGGGCGAAAACGAGCAAAGAGCGAAAAAGGGCAAAGGGCCAAAAATAGCAAAGGGCAATAAAGGGCAGAGGGCAAAAAAGGGCAAAGGGCCAATAAGGGCAAAAGGCCAAAAAGGGCCAGGGACAAAAAAGGGCCAAGGACAAAAAAGGGCCAAAAAAGGCCAAGGGCAAAAAAGGCAAAGAGCCAAAAAGGGCCAAGGACAAAAAAGGAAAAGGGCCAAAAAGAGCAAAGGGCTAAAAATGGAAAAGGGCCAAAAAGGGCCAAGGGCAAAAAAGACAAAGGGCCAAAAAGAGCAAAGGACAAAAAGGGCAAAGGGCAAAAAAGGACAAAGAGCCAAAAAGAGCAATTAGCAAAAAAGGGCCAAGGGTAAAAAATGTCAAAGGGCCAAAATTATGTTTATTTAATATCTTATGTTAATATCTTATCTTATGTCTTATCTTAATAATATCTCATTATGGCCAAGGAAAAAAGGGCAAAAATGAGCAAGGAGCAAAAAAGGGCAAAGGGCCAAAAAGGGCCAAGGGAAAAAAAGACAAAGGGCCAAAAAGAGCAAAGGGCAAAAAAGGGCAAAGGGCATAAAAGGGCAAAGGGCTATAAAGGGCAAAAATGAGCAAAGAGCAAAAAAGGGCAAAGGGCCAAAAAGGGCCAAGGGAAAAAAAGACAAAGGGCCAAAAAGAGCAAAGGGCCAAAAAGGGCCTAGGACAAAAAGGGCAAAGGGCCAAAAAGGGCCAAGGACAAAAAAGGCAAGGGGCCATTAAGAGCAAAGGGCTAAAAATGGCAAAGGGCCAAAAAAGGCAAATGGCTAAAACGAGTAAAGAGCAAAAAAGGGCAAAGGGCAAAAAAGGGCCAAGGGCAAAAAAGAGCAAAGGGCCAAAAAGGGCAAAGAGCCAAAAAGGGCCAAAGGCAAAAAAGGGCAAAGGGCCAAAAAGGGCCAAGGGCAAAAAAGGCAAAGGGCCAAAAAGGGCCAAGGACAAAAAAGGCAAAGGGCCATTAAGAGCAAAGGGCTAAAAATGGCAAAGGGCCAAAGCCAAGGGCAAAAAAGGGCAATGGGCCAAAAAGGGCCAAGGACAAAAAGGGCCAAGGACAAAAAAGGGCAAAGGGCAAAAAAGGGCAAAGGGCAAAATAGCAAAGGGCTAAAAATGGCAAAGGGCCAAAAAAGGCCAAGGGCAAAAAGGACAATGGGCCAAAAAGAGCAATGGCAAAAAAGGGCCAAGGGTAAAAATGTCAAAGGGCCAAAAAAGGGTCGAGGTAAAAAAAGGGTAAAGGGCCAAAAAAGGGCCAATTGCAAAAAAGGGCAAATGGCAAAACAGAGTAAAGGGCAAAAAAGGGCAAAGGGCCCAGAGGGACAAGTTAAAAAAAGGGAAAAGTTACAAAAAGGGCCAAGGGCAAAAAAATGGTAAAGGGCCAAAAAGGGCCAAAGGCCAAAAAGGCAAAGGGCCAAAAAGAGCAAAGGACCAAAAAAGGCAAAGAACCAAAAGGGCAAAGGGCCAAAAAGAGTAAAGGGCAAAAAAGGGCAAAGGGCCAAAAAGGGCCAAAGACAAAAAAAGCAAAGGGCCAATAAGAGCAAAGGGCAAAAAGGGCAAAGGGCCAATAAGAGCCAAGTTAAAAAAAGGCAAAGGGCCAAAAAGGGCCAAGGCAAAAAGGGCAAAGGGCCATAAAGGGCAAAAAAGAGCAAAGAGCAAAAAAGGGCAAAGGGAAAAAAAGACAAAGGGCCAAAAAGAGCAAAGGGCATAAAAGGGCAAAGGGCATAAAAGGGCAAAGGGCCAAAAAGAGCCAGGGACAAAAAAGGGCAAAGGGCAAAAAAGAGCAAAGGGCCAAAAGGGGCCAAGGACAAAAAAGGCAAAGGGCCATTAAGAGCAAAGGGCTAAAAAGGATAAAGGGCCAAAAAAGAGCCAATTGCAAAAAAGGCAAATGGCCAAAACGAGTAAAGGGCAAAAAAGGGCAAAGGGCCAAAAAGGGCCAAGGGCAAAAAAGGTAAAGGGCCAAAAAGGGCCAAAGACAAAAAAGGCAAAGGGCCAATAAGAGCAAAGGGCAAAAAGGGCAAAGGGCCAAAAAGGGCCAAGGCAAAAAAGGGCAAAGGGCCATAAAGGGCAAAAAAGGGCAAAGGGCCAAAAAGGGCCAGGGACAAAAAACGGCAAAGGGCAAAAAAGAGCAAAGGGCCAAAAAGGGCAAAGAGCCAAAAAGGGCCAAAGACAAAAAAGGCAAAGGGCCAATAAGAGCAAAGGGCAAAGGGCCAAAAAGGGCCAAGGCAAAAAAGGGCAAAGGGCCATAAAGGGCAAAAAAGGGCAAAGAGCAAAATAGGGCAAAGGGCCGAAAAGGGCCAAGGGCAAAAAAGACAAAGGGCCAAAAAGAGCAAAGGACAAAAAAGGGCAAAAGGCAAAAAAGGGCAAAGGGCAAAGGGCCAAAAAGAGCCACGGACAAAAAAGGGCAAAGTTCAAAAAAGAGCAAAGGGCCAAAAAGGGCAAAGAGCCAAAAAGGGCCATAGACAAAAAAGGGCAAAGGGCCAAAAAGGGCCAAGGGCAAAAAAGGCAAAGGGCCAAAAAGGGCCAAGGACAATAAAGGCAAAGGGCCATTAAGAGCAAAGGGCTAAAAATGGCAAAGGGCCAAAGCCAAGGGCAAAAAAAGGGCCAAGGACAAAAAGGGCCAAGGGCAAAAAAGGGCAATGGGCGAAAAATAGTAAAGGGCTAAAAATGGCAAAGGGCCAAAAAGGGCCAAGGGCAAAAAGGACAAAGGGCCAAAAAGAGCAATGGGCAAAAAAGGGCCAAGGGTAAAAATTACAAAGGGCCAAAAAAGGGTCGAGGTAAAAAAAGGGTAAAGGGCCAAAAAAGGGCAAAGGGCCCAGAGGGACAAGTTAAAAAAAGGGAAAAGTTATAAAAAGGGCCAAGGGAAAAAAAGGGTAAAGGGCCAAAAAGGGCCAAAGGCCAAAAAGGCAAAGGGCCAAAAAGAACAAAGGACCAAAAAGGGCAAAGAGCCAAAAGGGCAAAGGGCCAAAAAGAGCAAAGGGAAAAAAGGGCAAAGGGCCAAAAAGGGCAAGGGGCCAAAAAGGGGCAAGGACAAAAAAGGGCAAAGGGCAAAAAAGAGCAAAGGGCCAAAAAGGGCAAAGGGCACAAAAGGACAAAGGGCCAAAAAAAACAATGGGCAAAAAAGGGCCAAGGGTAAAAAATGTCAAAGGACCAAAAAAGGGCCGAGGTAAAAAAAGGTCAAAGGGCCAGAAAAGGGCCAATTGCAAAAAAGGGCAAATGGCCAAAAAGAGTAAAGGGCAAAAAGGGCAAAGGGCCAAAAAAGAGCAAAGGACAAAAATGGCCAAGGGCTAAAAAGGGTAAAGGGCCAAAAAGGGCCAAGGGTAAGTAAAACCATGTAAAACCTAAGTAAAACCTCTCATCTATGCGAATGTAAGAGGTAATTTACCAAGCCTAAATGTGAGAATTGTGAAGACGAACTATTATTGCCTTCTGTCAAGGCCCTACACTGCTCTACTTGAATGTGTTGACTTTTGTGAAAAAAGTCCTAAGTTAGTTATTTCAATCCTACTTTGATTGAAATGGCTAATCGAATTTATACCTCAGTATTTATTTTTGCCAACAATTGAACATACAATTGCTGATATGTACCTATATTGAATTACTTTAACGTTGTAAATTAAAGGGTAAATCGTCCAGGAATTAGTGATTAGTGGACACAATTTGATCATTTTCTTTTACTTCCCCCCTCTTTGTTTTAATCTCTACATTAAGTTTATTATAACTTAGCAATATTTTTAAAACAAACCAAACTATAACCCCGAAAACAGCAAAAGGTACAATTAAGTAGCTAAGTAGTATATTTTCTGTGGTAATTAAGAGGTAGGAAAACAATATAGTGCAAAATAAAGAAGCAGAGACAAATGAAGCAGATGTCTCTTGCAGCTGTCAATTAGTTTTTAAGATAAAGCAAATCATATTATAGGACAGAACGATACAATGGAAAATCCTTCTTGACAGTTTGTATTAATTTCAACAAGAACTTGCTTTTAACGGTAAATGTTAGGACTCACAGTAAATTAATAAGTGGGGAGTTACAGTGAACTCTAGTACTGCTATAGTACCACTGGCCGAAAGGTCTATGCAGCTCTCGATCTCGATCGTTAGTACAGTCGAGAGCTTGGAAAATGATTTCAAGCCGGCAAACCCTTATTTCAGCCCTAGGTACGAACATTTATTCATACTATGAAATGTTAGTGTTACCAACATTAACACTAATACAATAAGCAATTCTTCTACTAATCCTTAAAATACAAAAGCCTTAAAAAGTTTTAACAGCATAATACGTGTGGTGTTCTTTTATGTGCTTAGTGTAACGGATGAAATCACCTTAAAATATTTATCAGATGGGATTGGAGCATGGATTCTATACAAAACCCTCAAAGGAGCCTAAACTTTGAAGTAAAAGGTAGGCCTATAAAGTTTTGTTACCAAACCAAACTAACAGAGGCAAACATTTTGAATTCACCACTTCCTTTATAAACTTAGAAGTAAGTTGAAAGATTTCTCTATTTTGTCGATGGAGAGAGGGCTGACCTCAAACAACATTTACTCCTACAAACATATCGCTTGATTATGTTTTGCAATATTATTCCTATAGTTAACAAAACACATGAAAATGAATTTTAATATAATTTTAAAACTATTTGTCTCCTAACGTTGTTTACTAATTCACATTTATCAATATTGTTGATATCGTTTAGCTAAAGCTTTTTAATTTTACTTAAAAAATATTCGCTTATTGGGTCTGATGATGATTGGAGTGTCCAATCGAAATCGATCACCACTTACAGTCTTGTGAGTAACAGTATAAGCGTAAATATATGTTTTAAGTGTTATAAGACGTATCTTTATTTACTTTTCGTAAATTTAATAACACGTGCAATGCTGATCAAGAAGTTATTTAAAATATATATCGCTGTAATTTCCACCATTAAAGCAAATATGATTTTCCATCCCCTTACAAACATTATACATAGTGTCCACAATAGATTGGTTGCAATGTTATACAAAAGCATACCGTTAATTTCCATGGTCCAATATTCTATATTGGTTGTATAGTTTTACTCTCTATTTTGTGTGTATCAATTATTCTCAGTTTAATTTTCAATCCTTTGGTTTATTTTGAAAATTAATTTTCAGATTTTTATGTTTAAAAGTATTTCTAAACATGTCCATATCAAAATTCTTTGATCCATTCGTTATCAAAAGTTAATCATAACTGTCTTGCTATAAGAATCATATTTATGGAAGCTAACGTATGCGTCCAATATGCATACGTTAGCTTCCAAAAATGAGTCTTATAGCAAGACAGTTATGATACATGTATT